GGATTGTGACTGCGCTTCCAATAATCAAATGCATAATTTATACAACCAACATGTTAATTTTCTTGAAATGTAACATCGCTACATAATATACCCTAATAATTTTCTTTGGCTAGGAAAATTATTCCATATGTTCCATCCAAATCCATAATACAGAAATTTCTTACTTATTTTTCAGTGTCATCTTTTCCAAGAAAATCTCTATCACATGGGTATTTCTCTACCAATGAAACAAAATTAAACAAATCCTAAACATTTTTATATAATTTGTCTATAAAATGTGCATTTGATTTTTCCCAGAAACTATTCATATGGAATATGAATGATGAGTATACATGTTTAACATTAACAGAGAGTATTTATTTCTCTTTCCAATACTTAAAGAGTGGCAGTAACAGAGTGATAATTAATAAAATACTACATGCTGTAACATATCTAAGAGGAATTGATGGTAAAATAAAATAAGGCAAACTGGTAGTTCCCACATTTTGTCTCAAGGATCTCAAAAGGGGAAAGCCCCTGAAGGTTGAGCAGGGTCCTGCTTTCTAGAAGCTTCTGTGGGAGCTCCAGAACCCTCACTTCTGTTCCTGATGGAAGATGTGGCAGAATCTTCGGAAAAGAAGGCTTTATTTTTTGATGGGGTCAAACTAGTTGGCAGCTCTGGAGGGATCCCTGGAGGAGGTGGGCTGTGAGAGGTAGTGCATGCCCACCTCCACTGGGAAGGAGAGACAAAGCAATTCTCTCTTTTTGTTCTGTTCTCATCCTCAGCAGGACGCACAATTAGGAAACACAGACAGAGCCATGGAGCACACCTCTGAGACAACGTCACTCATTATGGTCCCCGAATACTCGGCATTATTTGGATTTCATGGATCCCACTCTGCCCTAGTTCCCACATCTCCAGATGGTCCAGGTGAACTTATAAGGAAGCAGAACCAGTGTGACAATGAAGAAGCTCCTGGCATTAACCTTGTAGTTCAACTTCTCCCCACTGTCATCTGGGACCCTCGAGTTGCAGCAGAGGTGGGAGAGGACTCCGAAAAATCAGCTGATTCCAAGTAACTCAAGGTGTGGAGATGCTGTAGAGAGCTGGTTATGGAGGCCTGGAGTGGATCAGGGAGTCCAAAGAGAGCCCAAGGTGTGCCAGTGGGGCTTATTAGAACCTGCCCAGGGAGGGTTTTCTAGGGCAGGAACCACCAATGCAGGTCAACTGTTGGAAGTATTCTCTACTCTCCATTGTGAAGTGGGGAGATTCTGAGTCCAGTCCCTCAGGAGAGGGGAGGAAAGGACCCTCTCCAAGGAGACAGCTTCCCCTAGAAGCTTCCTGCTTGTTCTGGGATTGGGAGATTTGCTACCTAACATGTCATATTTATTTGTATTTGTCTGCATTCTTATACTGGTTATAAGGGGGTCAAAATGTTATTTTGGAAATCTCCTATCAATCATGCGATTTACAAACCGATTAGTTCATTACAATGTGATACTTGACTTGTTGGGGTTGTGACATAAACTTAGGGAAAACTGGGCACAGTTATCGGGTTTTGAGAACATGTCCACCTGTGCTTCTGCTCTGCATATCCACTAAGGGAAGAAATGCGCATTTAGTGACACCGAAAATGGCTCCTGATCATATGAAAAGCCTGGTGCATATCGGGCAATCCATAAGTATTGAGACCTTTCTTCTTTCCTTTTCTTTGTATACCCAGGTGACCTTCAGAAAATGTGGAAATCAGAAAACTGACATATAAGAGAAAAAATTAGTAGCAAACTGAAATCTTGTGACAACAATAGTCTAGGACACAGTTTTCTATGTTCATCACCATATGACCATTGTTATAATAAAAATCAACACTTTGATAATTAAAACACTTCCTAAAGTAAATTACTTTAATAATTGGTTTGCAAAATGTTGGCTTTTAATTGATGAAATAAATATCCAAGTCAAGAATGAACATGTCTTCAGAATATCATGACAGGCATGTAACTGATGGAAAATAACAATTGTAAAATGTTATTAATTGCATTTCTGGAGTAATTATGTGTTAAAAGTTCTATATTTCACTTGGAATCTTGAAAAATGGGAAAATAAAGAGGCACAATTTGTTAGAGCTTGTTGAACACAGCCCAAGACATAGAAACTTCAGTTGGTAGACACCTGGGTTCTGATGATGAGAATTGTGATCTATAGGGGGAATTTTTTTCTACAGTTTTGAAAAGATACCCTTTACTATTATTCAATTCCACTTGCTTTGAACTAGGCTCCTTGAGCCATATTCTAATTGTTTATTTATTTCTCGGATTTTTAAAAAGAGAACTGGGGTATCTTGGGTAATGGGTATAGATACTTCTTTACCTGGGAAGAAATATCCTTCATTATAAAAGTTGAAATTAGCATGTGGGTTAAGCATGATTATCTCCTGAGTTTTGTGAGGGTCAGTCAGTTCTCTCAATTACAATCAATTTCAGATTAACTGATAGAAAACACGTTTCTGGACTTACAGAACTGATGATGAGGACTTAAACCCCTAAGGTTTTTCTCAAGAAAATGGTTTTTTGCCATTTTTGACTCTCCTTATTTCCTTTTTAAGTTTAACACTTTATAGGACTAGGTTTGCAATGCTCATTTTAAAAAGAAGAATCAAAAAACAATTTTCATTAATACATCAGTAGTTCTTAACCTTTTATGAGGCCATGGACCTCTTTATAAGCCAATGCTAAGGATCCTCTTGTTCTCTGCTCCAGTTCACACATACTACAAACGCACAGAGAATTTGCTTACATTGTCAAGCATCCACTGAGCTACTGAGGACCGTGTGTTCCTCAGTGCCTACAAGCTCCCAGTGAAGAAGCCCCAAACCAGATAAACGTTCATGTTCAAATTATCATTTCACAGTCTGACCATCAGGATTCCCATAGAAATGGTTAACTAACAGGTTAGAATGCTTTTGTCTGACTCAATTAAGTGTAAACTTTATTAAGGACTAAGCATTAATCCCATAATCAAGAACACTAATCCTTTTATTGAAATGATGATATTTGTTCAATAATATAAAACACTTTGATGCAATTAAACGGTTTCTCTTAATCCCCCAAATTCCCAATTGTTCAGCAGTGTTTGACTCCACTAAGGCATGCTAGAACATTTTTCTCCAATTTAGTCTAGGGTTTAATTTACAATCAAAACATTACTATAACCATGCTTAAAAGTCTTTACTTATTTCCAAGTTTTATTGCTTTTCAAGTAGCTGAGACCTGATTATATCCCAAAATAACATTTTAAAAAATACAATTTTTAGAAGATATTAATTTACTTTACACCACTTGAAAATAGCATTATTTTCTTCCAGCAGTAGAAAAAGAACAAGTAATAAAATTTTGTCCATGTATTTGCCACAAAAGAACTTGGTCAGAGTGTTTGTTTTTTCCCTTCATTAGAAGGAAATCTTTGCAACTGCACAGACACTTCACTTAATCCTTTGTCTTTTGAGATTACAGTAATGCATATGGCATCTATATAGAGTATCAGGAAATTCCTGTTTGCAAAGCTCTCTTTTGAGATTTGTTCATTGGAAGAATAGCCAATGAATAATAAATCATGCACTTTTTAAAATTTTATTTTTGTCTTAATCTATAAAGTATCAACTAGCCCCTTGGGTATTCTATCTGTATTTATTTCCTTTTTATCCATCACATGCGTCATGTACCTAATCCTGTGAACATTCTCTTATGGAACTTCTCCCGTATCTCTATTCTCTAAATAATAGTTGAGAAACCTTTCTAAAGCTTATACACTATATAGGTAGTGGGTTTTGCAAATCTTTCCAGATTTCTGTGAGAAACTTGGTTTTATCTTTAGAGCCCCAAGACAGAAAAAATAGATTGATTTCATGCAGTGGGTAAACAGGAAAATGTACACAGAATAAATTTTTTAATCTCAGATCTAGAAGATTGTGAAATTGAATGAGGTCATCCTCTGAGACATATCTAGGAATGCTGTTCCAAAAGGAAGCAGAGGGTTGGATCTATTATCTTCAGTTGATCCAGCATTGAAGAGTAGAGACACTGACCCTCACTTTCTACACCCAAAGAGAGCACCGATTCTCACAGGCTGAACTAGGGTGCTGTGTTAAGATCTCCATCCTCTTTAGGGGCTCACCTTGCAAGAAAAAAATTATTTTGCTCTAAAAGGTGGTTGCAGGAAGTATTCACAATGAGGCAAAGATCAAGTTCTCCTGTTCCAAGAACCAGTTAAATGTTATGAAAAAATTTCATGTGATTAAATAAGTTTGGAAAACACTGGCTAAAAATTGAAACAGAATTCTTCTTTACCATATGAATTTTTACAGTTTTCACTATGCTAATATGAACTGTAAGCCCTAAAGTGAGACATCTGAAATGCAATAATTCTCACACTTATTTGACCACAGAATTTATTTTAAAGCCTTCTTGAGGGGCTAGTGTTTTGAGGAAAACATTTTGGAAGATATGGGGCTGACCACAGCATATAAAGCATATGAAGATGTTGTAAAGGGTATTGTTTTAGATCTGTGGCTTCCAAATCCTGGTCCATGGAGCAGCTACATCACAGTTTGCTACTGATAATATTTGAGGACAGATTTCTAGAATACATCCCACATCTACTGAGTCAGTGATCTACTGGTGGGGCAGAAGGTAGCTCTATTTTTTTTTAAGATTTTTTTAAATTTATTTTTTCCCCCCAAAGCCCCAGTAGATAGTTGTATGTCATAGCTGCACATCCTTCTAGTTTCTGTATGTGGGACGCAGTCTCAGCATGGTCGGAGAAGCGGTGCCTTGGTGCCCGCTGGGATCCTCACCCGGGCCGCCAGCAGCGGAGTGCGCGCACTTAACTGCTAAGCCATGGGGCCGGCCCAATAGCTCTATTTTTAATAAGTGTCTCAGATAATTCCTGTGCTGAGTTGAGTTTGGAACCCCTTGAGATAATATCTTCCTAGGTCACTGTCAACTCTGATGCCGTAATCTTTTCATAAAGCTCTTTCTATTCTCAGCTCTCTCTTCAAGGCATTCTTCACTTCTTTGTTCCTCAGACTATAGATCAGGGGATTAAGCATGGGATTGAAAAGGCTGTGAAACAGGAGGAGATATTTCTTCTGTCCTTGGGGGCTCCCATATCGGGGCCCAACATACATGATAATGGCTGTGCTATAAAAGAGTCCGACCACACAGAGGTGGGATGAACAGGTGGAGAAGGCTTTTCTTTGAACTTCTCCTGACTGGATCCTAAGGATGGCACAAAGAATGCACATATATGAGATGACAATTGATGAGAAGGGTCCGATTAGCACAAAAATTGCTCCAGCCGACACCACGATTTCGTTGATGTGGGTATCCGCACAGGCAAGTTTGAGAACAGCCGTGATTTCACAGAAAAAGTGATTAATTTTCTGGGGTTTACAGAATGGTAAAGAGAGAAGTAATACTAGATGAACCAAAGACGGAAGAACTCCAGTGGTCCAGGAAGTCACTACCAGGTTGATACAGACTCTCCAGCTCATGATGGCAGAATATCGCAGTGGGTGGCAGATGGCCACATACCTATCATAGGACATCACCACCAAGAGAAGACATTCGGTGGCAGCAAATGTCAAAAAAAGAAAGGTCTGTGTCATGCAACCAGCAAAGGAGATGGCTTGGCTGGGTTCAGGAGGTTCACCAGCATCTGGGGCACTGTGTTGCAGGCATAGGCTATGTCGACCATGGCCAGGTGTGAGAGGAAGAAGTACATGGGGGTGTGCAGCCTGGAGTCCAGTGAGATGAGCCCCAGAATGACCCCGTTCCCCAGCAGGGTTAAGATGTAGAACAAGAAGAAGAGCTCAAAGAGAAGCATCTGAATCCTTGGGTCAAGGGGAAATCCCAGGAGGATGAACTCTGTGACAGATGTCATATTGTCTCCCGTATTCCTAAGACAGAGGAAATTGAGTTAACGTTCGTGGTTTAAGAAAAGTCTTTAAAAATAGATTTATGTTAACCTATTTGATACCTTTTTGTTGGATAGAAAATTGTTCAGAAACGCTTTCAGTGAATTTTTGTTGTTTTTTAATGAATTTTTAAAGACTATATTTGGTAACCCTAAAATAAGTTAAAAAAAATATATATGTACACATATACATATGTTTTTATTGTTGTTTTTAATGTTTTTAACAGAGGCTAAATTTTCAAAATAAATATATTGTCATATGTTAATCAAATACACAGATTTTGTTCATTCAGTGAGTTCATTCAGAGTTCATTCATATCTTTCAAATAAATTCTGGTTTTATTTGCTTACATTAGTCAGAGTTATTCTGTTTTTTTCAAGAACAATGACTTCTAACTAATACACATGCCAAAGTCCTAAACTACAAGTCTAATCTCGAGTTGGAAGGGTTCATTAAGGACAGGGTACACTAAGGTGAGAAATACCATTGGTCAAATACGACATTAGCCATTAACCTCTCACCTGCCTGTCTAAATGCACTTTCCACTCCCCCATCTGTTGTCACCTCACAACAAATATCTCACAAAATCTCTTCTTGTTCAAGTGTAAAGACTTATTTTCAGCCTTAAATCTCATTTTTCTTATTTAGTTTTTAACACTAATATTTAGATGAACATTTACATGAACGACTGAATAGATTTGTACTGTGTTGTTTATCTAAACATAAAATCAGAATCAATTACTTTGTTGAATCTTGACTCGACATTAATAAAAACTCTAGAAATATCCAGTTTTAGACACTGTCTCTGCATGTATTTGGCAGTATTTAGATGACCGCTGTGAGGGGTGCAAGAAAGGGTCTCTGAATTCCTTGAGAGATTGAACTAAATCATCTCTTTTACTCTGATTCCACAATAAAATGTCAGTACAAACATGATATTACCCTTCTTGCTTAAATGTTATTCCCATCTTTTATATAAGATGTTGTCTTGGCGATAGCAAGGATGAGCAAGAATTCTCAATTCAAATGGCCATAAAATTTTAAAACTATTAAAAAATCATCACATTTGCATCGTAACCGTCCTCTTACCATTCTAACGATAAGTGTCATGTCCAGGATGTTGAAAATAAAATAATTTGCAGGTATTTATTGACTTCCTATTATGTACTAGCATTGTTCTGAGAGTGGAGCTATCAATGATAGGAACTCTGAGCTCAAACTCATTCCTCGGACTGTGGCCTCACAACATTGCACATAAATAAATGAGTGTTTGTACACCTGTCCAATAACTCTGGCTATTCTTCCCTGTATATTTAGATATTAGACTTCCTCTAAATGTGACATTTCAAATCTAGTTTTTTAATAAAGAAGTGCTATCTTTTTTTGTTTAATATTAAACGTTGACTAGAAAGTCACTTGCACACATTTATCTCTTTCCTTAAAAATAGCTACCAGTCAAAAATAACTATATTTGTTATTTTGTTATTATATTTTTATAATATATTGGTTAGATTCATATACTGATATGTTGATTAATAACATATTTATTCAGTTTATCCTATTGTTTAAACTATCAATGAGTAAAATGTGAGCATTAATAAAAATGTACTTTTGCATGATATTAAAGTGTAACAGTAAAAGATAACAGGCAATGAAGATGATGTTAAAATATATTTGACCAGAACTCACAAAGGCGATTAGGGAACCTGTGTGTCCAGAGATGATTGCTGTATAAGGACCAAAAAAATCTTCATGCAGAAAAAACATATCTAGTGTGGCTGAATTTATTGATGGTACTGGAAGACTTGCTGCCCATCTGAGAAATGCCAAGGAAGGTTCTTGGCTCTTCAAGTTACCTTTGAGAAGAGAAGGCTTTATTAACTTGTTATCTCCACCAGGTACCTTTCCAATTGTCACGAGGGCTTAGTGTAGGGCACAAGACAGTAGGTCTCACTTGTACCAGCATGCTCCCTATAGAGACAGGAAGAACCCAACCGCTGATATCCTTCTGAGAGGGAAGAGGACTGGCAGTCTCTGTGCATTTCTATCTCTAAGGAATCCAGAGAGGTAGCAAGATCTCTAAAAGTTAAGGTAAGAACAGTTAGTTCCTTCATAATTGAAAGGATACACACACATATAGTCATACCCTAGTGCCACATGAATATTACAGCTACCCTAATACATGGATTTGTTATAGTTTCATGATTTTTTATGTTATTCCAGCTCCTAAACATTCAAGGAGCACTTAGGGGATGCAAAGATCCATGACTGGGTATCATTAGTGAAATGGAATCTTGACATTAATTCCCACAGCTGTATTTCTTTTAGTGTAGTCTGGTTTCCCAACTGTCCTAAAGGTGGTAGGAGAATAAACTTGAATTTGAAGGTCTTAATCATTAGATCATTTTAGACCATACCCTATATCTTTGAGCATAGATCTGGAGATGTGAAGACATTCATGCTGGGGATTCATATTAGACGTGCCCCAGGGCTTGTTGCCCGGTTTGGAAGAAGAATGGATGAGGCACAAGGGCTGAGAAAAGCTTATTTTGAAAATTTTCTCTTTTTAATAACGCCTGGTCCTGTCCTCATGGGAAAGATATAGCTCTGTAAAGGCAGAGGGTCAACTCCTGTCTTCTCTACCCTCATGGTTGGGGCTGGATATATGTATTCTACGTATCAGAGTAGGCATGTACTACTATTACAGCATATACTTGGAGGATAGCATTCCAATTCTGCAGGGTGTTATCAACAATCCAGGACCCTAAATCTGTGTGTCAGGTCACAATTTCTATCAGACTTACAGTTTTTGAGTACTACAATATGTATTGGGACCAATGAATTCTTTGGTCATTTTCCCATTGTCTCTTTCTTCGCTGTGAAGTGGGTCTATTGGACTGAAGTGATGTTATGTGTGAAACCATGTCATAAATAAGATATTCTAGTAGCTCTCCATTAGAGATACTGGCTAAGGTTCTGCACACAAGAAAGGGACATTCATACCTGTAATGCATATTATCTTTAATCATGATGAATCATTGCCCTATATAGGGTGCAAGAAATTGACAGGCCACCGACTGACTTATTGGTCTCCTTAAGAGGAAGGCACCATATCGAGGGCCCAGCATTGGTCTCTGCTGCTGACAGAACAAATATTCAGCTGAGTAGAGCAGCTGTGGTGAGGGCTAGCCTATGCTGTTGGATTCATGCAAAGCCTCCATCTCCGTTGCCATGGCTACTGCATTGGTGTACTCGCTGTGCAATCACTGGGGTGGCAAGAGCAAAGGCAGGCTGACATATCTATGACTGAGTCATCCCATGCCTAGTTGTTTAATGCCTCTTCTGCAATGATTTATTTTTAAAGAAACAAATGCACTTTTAATTGATCTACAGATGAAAACTACTCAGTGAAGGTCAGTAACTGCATCAGACCCTGATCTCTTAAAGCCATATCCTGGACAGTTTCAAGGAACTGGGTTAACTGATTATTTTCATTATTTCACTTCATCTACAGTATCAGAAAAACAAGGCATTATATCAGTTTAGATGAAATGCAAGGCTGGCAGTCAAATCCAGTCCCTTATATTCCATATTTTTTCTTTAGGTCTTCTACTTTGTCAACACTAGCTTTCATGGCATCTTCCTTGGAAGTCCCCTTCAGCTGATTCCGGGCATCTCACTTGTCCTTGCCTTTGAGATCCAGCATCCCAGATCTTTCTGTATTTATGTCACCCACAGTCACTTGTTACTTGGCATTAATATGGGATATATAGATTCTCATACTTTGTGCTCCATCCTATGTCTCTTCCCCATACTTCCACATACCCAGTAGTCCAACTGTGCTCCTTCCAGGTCAATGACCAACCAGTCAACCAATTTGCCAATTTCCAGGAGTCTAGGCATATTCTCACATCAGGCAACTTCTCTCTCCACAAAGTAGATGACTAGGTGAATTGCCAACTATGGGCAGTGAGAGATTTACCATCATCAGTTACCCTTAAGGCCTCAAATCCAAATGGTAGACATTTTGCAGCAATATATCTAGCCAAATCATCCCTGCAGCAGGACTATCTTCTTTCCTAATCTGTCAGCTGATTGTAGGGAATCACTCAACAACTACCTATCTATCTACTTACTTATCAACTGTGAAGGTTGCATCAGTGATAAAGGTGATCTGGGGATCTGGGCCAACTGTTCATTCAGCTTACTTTTGTCTTTTGTACTTGCTCTGGTCCTAAGTTATACCACATTCTTTACATATTTTTTATATGCTGGATGGCTGCTATGATCACTCAGTCTTATGATTTGGTGGGTCTAATAGCATCTAAGCTCAAGATAGGCAACCCTGGATTTATAGTTACTTGATATTCTATGATAAGTCTCTACTGAGGCTCAGTAATATCTGAGGAGCTGTGTTTTCAAAGGTGTATCGTCTTCTGCTGTAGATGGAAAGGCTTTGATGTAGAATCTCTGTGATTCATTCTATGATTAACCTACGGGGCCTGCCCAGAGACTCCACATGACATCTTGGTGTCATGACCAGAGATACCTTCATATCTATGTGGTCTCCTGGTCAAATGACCCAAGTGCTAGAGCTATAAATGGTAAGTGTATAGGTCAATAAATTTTTATATATTAATACACTTGTATAATCACCATACAGATGAAGGTACAGAACATCTCCGTCACAACAGAAAATTCCTTTGTCCCTCACCTCCTCACTGCCAGAAATCACTTCTTTACTCTGAGGTAACCACTATTCTGATTTCTATTGCACCAGATTAGTTTTGCCTGTTTTTGAATCTCACGTAAATAAATTATACAGCAGGTATGCTTTTGTGTCTTGCTTCTTGACCCAATATAATGTTATTGGGATTCACTCATGTTGCTGTATCAGTAGTTCATTCTTTTTTATGCTGCATAATATTCATTATGAACATCCTACAATTTGTTTTTCTATCCTGTTATTCATGTACATTTGG